ATGGTGGTAGAGCAGGAGACTACGATAGGTTGTTTACAAAACTAGATTCCAGTAAGTTTAACTATATATGCTTTTGATCACTTTGACCACCTTTCCATTAGTCTTAAATGGTTGAGGATCCTTTCCTACATGGTGTGATCCTGCCGATATTATGTTTTTAAGTCCTGTTGATTTGACTAGAAGAGCATGTGCTTAATTCTCTCACAGTGAAATGTGGGGCTTGTTTTTTTTATATATATATATAAACCCCTTTGAACTTTGGATGTACCATATTTATGAATCATGCAGAGTTCTGCTGAAGCTATGCAAAACAGAAAGTAATATATTAAAGGCTTTTTAAAAAAATTCCAAAATGAGCCTTTAAATGTATGTTTTAGCAAACTGGTAAACTTGTACTGTCCCATAGTTCAGAAAATTATACTGTATGCATGGCATGGTTCACATTATGTCAGCAATTTAACTGACCTGTGTTGAATCTCTGGCCCTTTTCACATTACCGTTCTAAACCAGATGTTATTCATTGTTGGCCCAATTTCAAGTAAAGTGAAACAAGGACAGGGGTTTCATACCGTGAATTTCCTTCTGTTAATGAGCCGTCTCTGAAGCGCTATGGTCATTTCAAACAGTGCAACTTTTCCGCCTGCCTGTTTTCACTGTGTGATCTTCCTCAGACTTCTTTTTAATATTCTAAGGTGAGCGCTATAGCACTAAACTGCAATAGCACTTTAGTACTATAGCACTCACCTTTGAGCTGTGAAGATTTTAAACAGCACACCACAGTGATTCAGAAGTGCAAATGAAGGGGCTGAAAACGGGAAAAAGCAGTTTCCCTCAAATGCGTCTCAAACACACTTTGCTAACCAGATGCAAGTGGGTTTGTATGAACAGGTAAATAAATTCTATTAGCAACTGGTTAGTAAAAGGGGTCTGTCTGAAATGACAGAAAAATTAGTTAGCAACCAGTTACTAAAATGGAATACAAGGGCAGTTTAAAAAGGGTCTCTGTTTAGTTTAACTGACCTACCCATACAACTTAATTTAATATTCTTAATCATTTCCCCATATATGAAGTGGACTAAAGGTGACTTTTATGCATTATTCCAACAAGCAAGTCTGTATTTACAAGATTAATGACTAGCAACTAATGCACCCTGCATAATATCATGCTGAACACAGCTGCCAATGAGTCTACCACCAAATAAGTCTATCTTTTCTTTTGAGATTTGGGTTGTGATCCAGTTGGCAGCTGTTCCTGGAACCTCACAGGCAGGAGGGTGGGGTTGCTAGGTGACCACCAGGCATGCTGTTCTCATTCTTGCTGCCACCTAGAAACTTGTGGAAAGAATGGGAGGGGTTTTTATGAAGGGACAGAGTATTGTTGGCTGCAGGCCTATTCTAGAGATGAAATGCATATATATGTCCCTAAATCCTAAAAATCCTCCTCTGCTGATTCTGAGGATGAATATCCATAAGATGTCTGGTATAAGATACTTGATGCTGGTATTTATCTGATGGCCGGCATACTTTGATACCCAACATCCAGGTATTTATTTGATATTTAAAAAGTGTTTGATCACTGACACACAAAATGAGGATGAGAGAGGGATAAAGAGTCATCCCCCAAAGTAGATTATGGTCTAATAAACTGCCTAGCTAATCTAAAGTTTAATTAAATTTCAAAATCAAATTTCTTCAAAATCAAACAGTTTCAAGCTTTCCAAAACTTTCATTGTAGCTTCAGTAATGAAAGGAAGAAACACTTTGCTTTCTATCTGACTGTAGACAGGACTAGACAATAGTATTGACTAAGAACTTTGAGTCAAATGCGGTGGCATATGTTGATTCTTTCATCAAAAATACTCTATTGCTTCCAATTATATTAATGCCATGCTATTCAGATAGCTGGCACAATTGCTTTCCCAGTAATTCCCAGTCTGCCCTTTTCTCCAGTTTTCATTACAACTTAATTGCAAAAACCTTCCTTCCTTCCTTCCTTCCTTCCTTCCTTCCTTCCTTCCTTCCTTCCTTCCTTCCTTCCTTCCCTCCCTCCCTCCCTCCCTTATTGCATGTTTTTGAGCCAATGGAATGCTCCTAAACTTTACCATTCAAAACAGAATGCTAGTGTTTGTGGGATTTCTAAAAATAAATAAGTTATTTTAACTGGCTGCTATGTTTGTTGTGTTACCAGTGCAATTTGGCTCAGCACTTACTTGAGGAGAGTGGCAAGATCCAAACTCCCTGTAGTTTATAAGTTAGGTAAGATAATTGAGAGCATAACATAGACATTTGCCAAACTCATTGAGTTTATGTATAAAAGTGTATATCCTAGTTACAGCCAAAATAAACAGCAAGAAACCAAAACCCTGCTTATCAGTTAACCTTCATTTTTATTTTAGGAATAAACTTTGGAGCAAGTTATTGTTTCTCAGCATGGAAAAATGAATCAGTATATAACATTATGGTATGGGGAATACATTCTCAATGTGTGGAAAGGCTGCAATCATGTAATGGATTATTACCTCAGTTGATACTGTATACCTAGTGAGGTTATTGCTTTCCATTTTCTCCCAGTGGGAGAATTATTATAAGTGATAAAGAGGCTTAATGTATGATCTAGGTTTCACCCAGGAGGGTTTTGTTTGTGGAATCTGTACATAACAGACTTTAGGAAATCATCTAAGAAATTCACACATTGAGTAGAACAAGTGACATATCTGTAATTGATGTATGGAAAAATAGTGGATTAGAGCACCAATTCTGTTGATTCGTAGAGTATATATATTAATAACATTAGCTGAGTGAATAACAGGCCATTGCCTAGGAGTTAACCCTGGATAAGGTTTGCACAGGAGTTTGTATCAGAGGAGTTATGAAACAGGGTAAGGGTACATATAATCCTGTGGCTTAATCATGATTGGAAGCATTATGTGTGCACCAGTCTATTACTGTTTCTGTATGTGTGCACCAGAAATTGTCTGCATTACTGCATTAAATATACAATATACACACATGGCATACACTTTCTGATCTGGATTTTCTGTGCACAAAAGCTAGGAATTAAAAAAAAAATCAGTTCTCCTAACTCCAGGTGTATGAGAAGACTAAGAAATACATTACAACAGTCCAAGATACTTAGTTCAAACATTTCTCTACCTTATGTGAGTAATTCTTTTTAGCTGGTACTCAGCGCTGCCAAAATGCGAAGCATTGGCTTGAATCCAAAGGGGCATTTCAGGGGGTATTTTGGCTGCAGCAGGATGCAAAAGTAAGAAAGTCAAACTCTGTGGGCAAAAATCATTATGCCTGTGGAGTCACTTCATTGGATCCAAGCCATTGATTACCCCCTTTTCTCTCCCTTGATATTCGCAAATACTGTGATGTTATTTTACTGCATTGTTGCTTGAGGTTTTGCTCAACATTAAATACTCAACTTGTTATATGCTGTCTAGGTTGATATCTTCCATCTGGTAACACTACCATCCTTTAAAACAAAAAGATGTCTAGGGTTTGCTAGTATATTTATATTTGTTTCAGCCTAGATCTCTGCTCTGTTATCAAGCTTTTCAGACAGATCTGTTAGCTAGACCTATAATTTATATATCAGGCAGTTTATGATTAAAGGATGATTTAATGTATTGGATGAAATTATTAGTCACTTTCAGTTCATTTTCACCTGCATTTGCTAAAGTTAGCTTTTCACCTGTTGAAAACCTCTATGATTTCCAAGTGAGTTATGGGTTTTTCTTTTGCTGTTTTAGTTACTTTGATAGGAATTAGCCCACATCCCAGATGATCATTGTGAACATATTCCATGGTAATTGTTTTAGCAAGGTAATTCTTGCTATCTTTTCTAAAGATACTGTAAATAATGAATAAAAGTTGGACTTGTGCAGCTAATGGCAACACAGAAAGTCTGAGGCAGAAATCTGGGGGAGTTTCACCCATTGTCTGCCTTTCCTTTAAACAGGAATAAAGTAGTCATCTTATGTACTCACCAGATTCACATGTGATATTTTTTAAAAAAATAGTTTTGAATCATGCTCAAGGTTTAGTCAAAAAGGTGGTGAAACTAGGTTGAGAGTTAACTATATCGATAGCCAAGATCTTAAAGTAAGCTTTGCAGATTGTGTTCTAAAATATGTGATTGTCTAAGTATATCTCCCTTATAAATAAAAGCCGAATGGTGGTGGCACTTCTCTAGAACATTCCACACGCTCCAAAATCAGTTCGCTCTCTGATCTGTCATTCAGAGGGTCTCCCTATCCACTGGCTGCTTTGCCTGAGTCCTGCCTCCAACATTATAAACATTTTGCTAATCCTCTCCCCCCCATAGCCAGTCAGAACACAGAGGTTATTTGCATATACAGCCTCATTGGCCTCTGCCTCGGAACACAGAGGTGGTTTGCATATGCGACTTGATTGGCTTTTGCCTCTAACGTTCTAAACAGTTTTGCTGTTCTGAGGTAAAATGTGTCCAATCTCCAGGTGAGGGCTGGAGATCACTCAGAATTACAACTGTTTTCCAGATGGCAGAGATCAGTTCCCCTGGAGAAAATGGTGGGCTCTGTATCCTTATATGCTGCTGAGGTGGCCCCCGTATGACAGCCAATGTGACGTAGCAGTCAGGGCTTCAGAGCACGGGAGAGGCTGCAGGTGTGTGGGGGGTGGAAAGCTGAAGAGTGAGGGGAAATAAAGGTAGGTTGATGATTGGCTGGGAAGAAAATAGGGTTGCCAACTCCAGGTTGGAAATTCCTGGAGATGTGAGGGATGGAGCCTGGAGAGGGTGAGGTTTCAGGAGGCGTGGGACCTCGGACAGGTACAAAGCCATAGACTCCACCCTCCAAACCAACTATCCCCTTCTGGGGAACCATTGTTGCCAATCTCCAGGTGAGGGCTGGAGATTACTCAAAATTACAACTGTTCTTTAGGTAGCAGAGATCAGTTCCTCTGGAGAAAATGGTGGACTCAGTGTCATTATACCCTGCTGAGGTTGCCACAGCAAATTGACACTGAGTGTCCAAGGGCGGGGCACCCGCCCAGAGCCTCTTTCTAGAGGCCGTTATTTACTATTAAAAATATAGAACCGAATGATTGAATGGTTGGTAGTGATATATGAAGCATCTAGGACCAAGGATACAAGATTGGACATTTTATAGCTCTTTGTACTGAAACATCAATTCATTCACACAGTTAACCAAAGCCACTGCTGTGCAACATTCACAGAAGACTTCAGGTTCTGTTTTTTAAGCAGGGTAAATAGGTAGCTCATGCATAGCCTTGTGATGGAAGGTTTGAAATACAGTTCAACACAGGTGCATTTAACATTGTAATGATGGCTAACAGTGAACAGTGCAGCTGTTGAGAAATCACTTAGTCCAAATGCTGGACCTTCTTGCAAGTTTTCCTTGTGCGGGAAGTTTCTTGATTCCTTTCCTCCTCTGGACGTGCCTTTCTCATTGTATAGCGGTGTGAAGATCAATCAAAGAAGCTGGACTTCAGAGAAGCATCACAATGATGCAGATAAGCAAGAGGCATATTAAGATAAGACAGAAATTTACAAAAAGCTCCTGAAGCCTTTGACGTGTTTGTGGGTTCACCTCAATAGTGGAGGCTCTCCTCATAGCGGAGCGGGTTATGTACTGGACCTTCTCCATGGCAACAGGAAAGCAGAAATTTAAGGAAGTGATGCAGATTTTTAAGAAGCAAAGTATAAAGTGCTTAGTATCTTCTCTCTTTTTTGTTTTTAAGAACCTTTGTGGAGCTAGGAAAAGCAGGAAAGTGAAGTGTTAGAAATACAGCAAACAGTGCTTTGACAAAGGCAGATTATTTTCAAGTGGATAGATGCAGTTTGAGATGTTTTCTCCGTGGAAACAAATCTTAACATAAGAAACAAGACTTGTATTAACATAAACACACACACATACACAGAGTCTCTTATTCTAAACACTGCTGCACACAATATGGAAAACTGCATGGCAGCAAGTCCACCATGAATCATCATTGTGAAAACTGTAACATTTGATGGAGAGATGCATGTATTTCAGTTCCTGTTTGCAGACGGATGTGGGGAGCCATGGCAGTCATGCTCCAGAAATGTCTGCATTGTGTTCGAAGAGACTTGAGAGATGTTGGCCATTTCGTTGTGACACATCAAGCTGAATTTAGTCCACCCATCGTTCTTGGAGCTCTACTAGGGACTCATTAAGCATCCTTTTTATTGCTTCCCAATACATGGCTGGTGGACTTTGTTTAGCTTGGATCACAACTTGTGCAGGCATGTTTTATATAAATACCCTGCACAGTGCCAGTAGGTGTGCTTATGTTTTCTTTTAAAGTAATGAAAGCTTTCATGGTTCTGGGTGGATACAGTTTAACAGATAATTAGACATTAAAATAATCGCTTGCCACTATAGTCAGTCCTTTTGGTGGGGTTATATTTGTCAGGGGAAGGTAGTGTAAAAACAAGGCAGGTGCAAGAATTCTCAAGGGACCTAGTAAAAATTGTACCTTTTCTTGTAACCTAATGTGGGCCAAGTTATGCTTAAGAGTTTATCCTCCTCTAGGTAGTCTACAGTGAATTAAGTACTAACAGATTTGTATTAAATGGATTTTGTTAACTGTATCTCAACACTTCACAGACCTGCCTCATAACTGGTTGATTGCCTTCTCCACACTTTTGAGAAGGCTTGGCAGTGTATTTATTGGTGGAATAGCAATTTGGCAAGCAAAGCAATTACTTTGTTCTATAGTTGGAAACTGGATTGAAAGTATAGGTCTCAAAGTGTTAGGAAGGATTGTCAAGTTGTCATAAGGTGCATGAAAGCAGCATTGACTTGTTTCACATCGTGACTATTAACTAGGTGTTAATGTTCATTAATGGTTTTGCTTGTAACTGTTACCTTAAACAGTAGGAAAATAATTTGTGAAAGCACATTAGAGCACCTCTTTCTTTAGTTCCCTATGAAAATACTAGAAAAGCCCTCCGAAGGAAATGAAAATCAGTTTAATTTCCATTAGATTTGAAATGTATAGCATTGGTATTGGAACTGTAGGAATTCATTTTCTTGTGCTAGAGGAACTAAATTGTTAAGGATGCAGTTGGATTGCTGATATCCGACTTTTTCCATCTTGTTGGGGATATTGCAGGTACTTGAAGCTAAATCCCTTGATTCAAATCACTTCATTACATAATTACATTAATAGTAACTTGCCCATACAGAAATGCTACATTGAAATAGACACAGCTGGGTTATGTGTCTTAGTGAATGTTTGAGAGATATACTAATTAAACCAAAATAGTTATCCAGCTTCTTCACTTGGCTTTTTTATATTGTTTGTGTTATCCCTGGAAAATTATAGTTTTCTATCCGTGAATAGTTTATGTAAGGCCAATTTGTACAAGAATTCTTATATGTATTTAAAACTTTTCTGTTCTCTTTGGTCCCAAAGCAATGCAACTCAGGTTCAAAACACAAATAAGGTGCAGATTTTGAAAATCAGGCTTTCCAAATGCAGGTTGACTTACAATATAGATGTGTCAGACTACTCACAAGATTAGAGTGCATATTCACAATGATGTAACAACAAAAGCCACCTTCTGGTGGAAAAAACAATTACTATATCTAATAGTGAACTAGTAAACCCACCCTCCCACAGACTACACAGGAATGCAGAAAACAGGATTTTGTAAATTAACAAAAAGAAGAACCATGTAAGTAGGGCCCAATGAGGCTTCAAGATGCCCTTGGAAGGATGGAATGGAGGCTTGCTGAATTAAGAATGGGGGGGGGGGGGGGGGGGAAAAAAAAAAAAGGCAAAGAAAAAAAAAATCAGTTTGCCCAAGTCTGTTTTTATCCTGTCATTCTTCCATGGAGCTCAGTGCATCCTACATTGTTTTCCATCCCCTGTTTAATCTTCTGTGGCCCCGGTCACACGGCAAAGTTGCCGCGGGAGAGGCACAGGAGTCCCGTGGATTTTCCAGGTGCGATCTCACCCCAACATCTGGGAAGCGCAGTGCTCCCGTGGCGACCCCGTGGCTCCCCGCCGAAGGTGCAGAGTTAAAAACTAGTACCTACGAGGTACTAGTTTCCTGAAACTGCAGGCCAAGGGCGGGCATCTGATTGCGTTCCCGGTGGACTTACGTGGCATCCGGTGCTCGCCGCTGTTTGTCTCCACAGGTTGCGCAACAGCGCCCAACAGCGCATGCGCGCAAAGAGCTATTGCTAGTGCGATTGCGCGGCGTGACTTCTGTGCCACGCTGCAGGATACCCGTCTGATCGGCATTTCCCCTGAACCACGGGACCTCGACCGGGACGTGTGCTTGGGCAGCTGCGCATTAGTTTCCTCCGGGGCAATTAGCCACGCCTCCCCCCACGATATCCGGCCCATGTGACCGGGGCCACAATATCTCTGTGAGGTAGGGTGGGTCAAGTGTATGTGACTGGCTCAAGGTCAGCCAAAAAGTTTTGAGGCAAAGTAGGGATTTGAACATAGGTCCCTGAGAGCTTAGAAAATCCTAGAGGGGAAGACTGGGGGGGAGTGATTTTCATATTGTCCTTCCACTCACAGGTATTACTGTGCCTCAGCTCTGATTAATACCTGAATGAAGGTGGATGTGCATCTAAGTAGTGCTAGGTGAAAAAAAACTATTAGGAAAAAGAACTGATAAGAATTTTTATCCTGTTGATCTGATGTATTTATGGATGGTGATTTAATGGATTCAGACATTTTTTCCACAATAGGATTTATAATTTCATTTTAAATATATACCCTTTAAAAACAAGACAGTGGCTGCTATTTTGTTTAGACCACTAGAGGTCATCAGTCTATTGATGATTTTTTAAAACCTGAAATTTCATGCAAGAGGACCTGATTATAAATGATGTACCCATAGTTTGTGGGACATAGGCCTAGTTTGCTGATATATTTTTGTGTTATGATATAAAATAATCTTCAGTAATCTAATATTTACTCAGTGTAGCTTTTTTGTGAAAATATGACTTTGCTCTAAGAAAATAGTTTATTCTTTACTAATGCAATAATAGAACCTAGCATTCCTCTAATATTAATATAATGACATTTGGATAGAGATGAAAAAGAAAATCTACATGGTAAGCCTAGACTTCAGGTCTTTGAATAATTGTGTCCTCATCTTCTTGAATGAGAAAAAATAATTCGTCTAACTTGTTTTCGGAGGTTTCTTCTTTCTGGTTTTGGCATTGTGTTTATATTTACAGTAGTTTTGAATTTTGTTCCAGTGCTTCAGGAGCTGAGAAGATTGCATATTATTTATAAAATGTACATGGTGAAATATATTTGGATCCTGGGTGAAATTTAGAAGAATGATTAGAATCCTGTACAAGATTAGGGTACTTAATCCATGTGCCTTCAATGGGATTTAAGCAGCCTGAATATGCCGGGTTGTAGCCAATGGCCAGGATCCAAAGAATCATGCGACTACTTCTGTATGCCCAGCAATGTTTGGGTTTATGTTTCCTCAACAGCAGCCACCCCCCCCCCCCATGCTACAAGCTTTTGAAAGTGTGGGTGCTTTCATAACAGATTTACCATGTGGCACAGAGGTCTGCTTATTAATCGAAAAAGTAAAAAAAATCCCCTTGGACAAATGTGAGCCTATTGGCTTGTCTAAATCTCAATCAATATATTATACAGTTCTCACATAAATCATGTGTATAAAATATACTGGATTCATTTGTTTGATTTCAATTTAAAAAGAAAATCAGTGAGAGTCCAGGTTGAAACCAGGCATGCATGTTTAACTGATGATACATACTGAATAAGAATTGGTAGGTAAACTTCTTCAACATGAAGTTAATATAATTTGTGCCCTTGATTTTAATTTGACAAGAATATCATCTCGTGCTGCCAGAAACTTTCCTCTCCCTCCAAGAGACAGAGTGAAAGTGCCTCTGAGCAGCATATTAGGTACAAGTAAAAACTCAGATTAATTTAATCTGTTTAATGTTAAAATTCCTTTGATGGGAGAATGCTTATGATTTCGTTTGAGTGAGATACATTGAAAGAAAAACTAATAGTAGGGTAAAACTCTTAATAAAAAATAGAAACATGGAATAAAATGAGGGGGAAACTGATTTTTTTTGTATGCAATATTAATTGTTCCCCTCCAAAGGACTGAAATATAGCTTAATAAAATTTTAGTTTTGATTGTTCTATCATGGTATTTTCCACCTTCCTCATAACACTTGATTAGCCCGTTTCTTTCACCTAGTCTAAACAGAAAGAGTTAAAATAAATAACTGTGTTTTAAAAAGTATAACACAAGGCAAATATGTATTGGAGTTCAAATGATCTTTTCTCAACAAAAGTTGTAGGTTTAAAAATAGGGTAGTTTAGAAAATCACAACTCCTAGTATATATTTTTTAAAAAGCAAATTCCCTTACCTCAGCTGCCAGTAATTACTGAATTATATGCTGATTTGCTGTGGAAAACTGTAAGGCGTCTCCGTCACCCGGTTTGTGGGAACAAGTGAAGTTGGTGGAGGGAAAAAATAACAAAAGTTTCATAGGCAGGGCTCGTGATGTCATTCAGGAATGTGGCTTTAGTGATTGGTTATAGCAAGGCTTTTATAAGAACATGGACGTTGCACAGCTGACCTCATCAGAGCAACAATGTTTAGTTCTTGAACTGTCACGAAAGGAAGAGAGTGAAAAGGAGCCCTTGTGTCTGCAAAGCAAAGGACCTCAACAGCCTAATGATAGTGAATTTGGGAACACAGTGGAGATATGCTATTTTCTATTATTGTCAGTGATAACTGTTCTCATTGGTCTGACTGGAGCCAATCTGCACCTCCTTTTTTAGTAACTTTAAGTTACTGTTCTGTAAAACTGTAGGTAGAAATGAAAAACTGAAACACATTGATTTGTTCTCTACATGGTGATTTCCTGTGGTGTCGAGGACCACAATCCCACCTAACGTATAACCAGCTCTCTATACCCGGTGAAACTTTTTGCTTCTATTTCTCAGGACATCGATTGTGTGTAAGGTACACACCAACGTGCCACATCCCTAGCTGCTTTTGAAAGTCAGAGTTTAGAAAAAAGCTTTTGAACTGGCATGAATATTTGCTGTTTAAAGGTGAAAAGTGAAAATCTCATTTTGCAGTGTGTCTGCAGTAGCTCTTTGGATTGTGACTCAGATAATTTAGTCGTAAGTGCACATAATGAAATAAACAAGGTATCATTAATTTGTCACTTCTGGCTTAGAAGAATTTGAAAGAGCTTTGTAGATATTTTTAATCCTTTATTGTTTTATCTTTGTGACACACTTTAAAATATTTTGTAAACCTTTGCAAGCCATGGATGGAATGCAGAATATAAATGTTAGATTGGATTAGTAATTTACTGGCAAATGAGAAACAGTGAGTCACCTCTTAACATAGGTGATTACTTCTCCTAGCTGACAGGAGAAGTGTGGCATGATGTTTGTGTTGATTATTATTTTTGGAATGATTGTAAGTGGCAGTCCTGTGTACAGATTTTGGTAGAGGGTGTTGCTCTTTGTCACTGTTGAGTTTATGACTCTCTGCGGTTTTGCAGTTTCCCTTTTCAAAACTATCTCCTTCTGTTGCAGATGAGGTACCATACTGGCTACACAGTGGTATCACTGTCTTATGGGTAGAAGACAAGCTATTGAAGATACTTCTTGAGTTTAAATTGGCACATTTTAAAAAAAATAACAGTGAAATTAGTATTATTAAGGAGATACAGTTTACATGTGTACAGAGAGTTTAGGAAAATATCTGTTATAAGGACCATTCTTCTAAAGGTATGTTATTCCTAAAAATGTATTTTAAAAGCCTTTTCATTATGGAAAAGATTGCTGTACCATACCTTAAAACATTCATTTTTATGGTTTCTTGAAATGAAAAACTTCGTATTAGTAATAACTACGGTAGGATATAGGTCTTGCATTAAAGCCATGGACAGATGACACATCTTTCTACAAACCTGAAACACTCCCCAGGTTTGCAGAAAAATCTGAAATCTATTTTTAAAAAATTGGCATGGTTAAAACCCCACAAAATAATATAAGCAGTTCCTGTAGCTTTAAGAAACAAATGTCCTCTGTGGCCATTGCTCAGCAACCAAATAGTATTGCCAGTCTTCCAGCCTTGGTTTCTGTCAGTAAAAGGCAGAGGGAGGAGGCAGGGCCCTTTTGGCCTTTGAGGGAGGATTTATCAGGGCCGGAGCCAGCAACAACTACCAGGCAAGCTGCTACTGTTCAACAGCAGCTACTGCACGAAAGCCAGTTTATTAATCGTTGTTAGAGTTTCAGATAAGGGATCTGGGAGACCCAGGCTTGAATCCCTACTCTGCCGGAAGTTCACTGGGTGACTTTGGGCCAGTACATTCTCTCAGCCTAACTTACCTCACAGGATTGTTGTAAAATGGAAGACAGGAGAATGATGTAATCTCCTTTGGGACCTCATTATAGAGAAAGTCAAGGTATAAATGAAATACATAGATACTGGACACAGTTAAGAGGTTTGTTGGTTGGTGAGTGGGAAAGAGACAAGGAAACCAGGAAAGCTGAGAATAGGGGGGCTTCTGGGAGGAGAGAACTAGTGTAGGGAGGGGAATACAGGTAAAGTAAGGTGCTTCCCACACGTCTTTTCAGGTTCCGCTCTATGCAACTGGGCCCAGCCCAGCGGCCAGACTGGAGCAGCATAACTGGGCCGTGCTTTTCCCAAACAGAGGCTTCTGCGGGAGGGAAGGAAGGACATCTGAAGGCTAAGAAGATAAAAGTAGGATTGGGTGGTTGGTGGGAAGAATAGAAGGAAAAAGCAGTAAGCTCTGGATACTGCAAGGGAAGGGAAAGGGGAAATAGTGTGGGAGAATTAAATGAAATGCCTTCCTCATGTCCCTGTGGGTCCTCTGTTTGTTATATCCAATTCTGACTAATGGCCTCGGAGTCCGGATCAAAATATCTGTAGAGTGGCACCACATACATATAGGGAATGTTTTTCTATAAGCCTGGGGAAGCCCTGGGTCTGCACAAAATTATTAAATATTAGAAGATACTGGGGGGGGAGATAAAAATGTAAACTAAAATAATTATTGAGATCTCAGGAGACTATGTTGTGAGTTCTTGCTGGCTATTTTGAAGGTAGCTAGGCAACCCCAAACCAAAATTGTCAAAGTTTTGGTTAGTGTCAGTATGGAGGGAGGGGAGAGAAAGATTGCAAAAAGGAAACAATAGTAGAAAGGGAATATGAAGCTGGAGGGGGGGAGCAAAAAAAATAAAAAGTAAAAGCTGAAGATGGGAGGGGAACAGAACAGGTTTGGTGAGTGAGAGGGCAGAGGCTGCTAGGAGGAGAAACATAAAAGGTGGGTAGTTGTGAGTGAGAGAAGCAAAGGCTGGAGATGTTGACAGCAGAAGGCAATGAGGAAAGAAAGTAGAAGCAAGGGAGTGGGGAAATGAGATTTTCTCCTCCCCATTTGTATGAATTAGTTGCCAGTACAGTAGCTCATGTGACTGGACAGTTGATGCACCCTTTTTCTCTTCTAGCTTTCCTTTTCATCTAAAAAAGCTGTATCTACAAAGTTTGGAGCTGGCAGTCAAAGATCTGATTAGTCTAAATTGATACAGGAAATGTTGTAGTCTTCCCCATATCTTCCTGGCACCTCTTTTAGAAATGCCAGATCACTTTATTGAAATAATAGGAGAAGCAATACCTTGGCAGATCTCTTTTCTATACATATCTGAAAGGTCAGAGCTCTCTCAGGGTTTAGATATGTTCATACCAGGTGCATTGGCTTCTTGTAGGGTTACCACCCCCCCCGGGGGGGCGGAATTCCCCCCGGTTTCGAGCCCCGATTCCCGCTCCCGCGGAATCGGGGCCTGGGGAAACCCCACCCCCGCGCGCGTGTCACCCGGAAGTGATGTCGCACGCTGGGGGCGGGGCCACGCCATTTGAGGGGAAAACAAAGAGTTTTCCCCTCAAATGGCAGCCATTTGGGGGTAAAACTCTTTGTTTTCCCCTCATAACCCTAGCTTCTTGGCCCACAGTGTTTCCCAGGCCTCCAGACTTTGGTTTCCTATCTACTTCCTTCCTGCCAACAGTACACAGTTCCTCAGCCTTTTCTGCCCTGAGCCCCATGAGAGGTATGCCATAGTCACACTTCTCTTATATCTTTTTTTCTTCAACCTAATGTTTCTTTCCACTGCTGTTTCTTAGAAAAAAATGCTGTAAGCCCTATGCACACCATAGTCTATATAATTTTGTTTAGACTCTTGACCAACTGCAGCTTTTTGTGTACTTGGCCAAGAGGAGTGTTATTTGTGAAGAGATTTTTTAAAAAACCTTTGAAGCACCTTCAGTTAAACTAATAAATATTATTTAATTCCTAGGAGAGTACAAAAACCTGGAAATCATGGAGTGATTTGGAATACTGGCACAAAACAGCAGTACATGTATTTAAACTTTGGGTCAACTTCCATTTTCTTCAGGGGACAAAAATGTGCAGCTGCTGCTACTTGACCTTAAATGGAAATGATCTGGGTTTTCTCCAGGGGGATTAAGAATCTGCCACAGAGTATGTTTCTCTTTATTTATTTAGAGATCCAGTACAAATGACTTGGGGATCACATCTAAGGAGAGAGGCATCTTGTGCCTTGGTGTTATAGCATATGTTTTTTAAAAACCTTATCTGTATTGTAAAGATAAACCTGAACTTCTGGCTAATTTTTAAAACTCAGCTTTTTACAGATATTCACCTGTATGAAGTGCTTAACACACTAATTTTATGAGCTGTTAACCTCAAAATGCATGTTTGGGGCAAGTACAAAGGATTGTTGAGCAACTGTAATTTCATGACTTGTGGGCAGTGCACTGGCACATCTATTGGTTCAGGATGTTTGTAGTGTAGTTTATGACTCTATATCTAGGGACTGCCATTCTTATTCAGTGTGGAAAATGTTCTGGCCCCTGTTGAGGCAACCATGTTGGTGCAAACGTGTGTTTTTGGAAGGCACCATTGCTCAGTGGTGTAGCATGCAGAAGAGCCCAGATTCATTTGCTGGCATCTGCACTTAAAAGATGTTGGTTAGTAAGAGTGTGAAAGTCCTTGAAGAGACACTGCCTTCCAGGGCTGATCATGTGTTCCCCACATGGCCACCAGAAGCCTTTGTGGTCAGACATGCATGGGTGTTCCATGATCAGCTGCATGGATTGGGACCACAGGTTGAGGGGGCTTGCCCCACATACTATTTTCTGAACCTAAAATGGGCCCAATTGTGGAAACTTAAATGTACTGGTAGTTTTTCAGGTTGGGAAAATGGTACAAGGAGCAAAGCCCCCTCTCCTTGTGTGTTGTAGACCCAATCCAAACTACATTTATGAGCACTTGGGGATTAAATTCTAAGATCAGAACTCCTGGCTGACATCTGATCAAAATGGTGACTTTGTAGAGAGAGGAAGACTTTGTAACAGCCTTCAGAGCAAACAATACTGGTCCAGTGGTTTGAATCAGTAGAAGGAAG